GGAAGCATGTTTGAGGTTCTCAAAAATTGAAAATTTATTTCAATACAATGCAAAAGAAACAACTTAACCAATTAAAGTGTTTTTCTCTCATCATTCATCTAAACACCAAAATGTCGAAATATTACCACTATCCCTGTTTGTTTTTCCTTTTGGACTTTTTACAGTCAAAATATATAAATGAACTTTAATAATCCACAATTAACTAACTAAAAATTAATCCATAGCATATTTGCACAATTAACTAACTAAAAATTAATCCATAACATAAATTGAATAAATATACTCGGACACATAAAAACTAGCAAAATTATGTGATTTAAGATTATATTTGACGGGAGAAAAGAGAGGCGTGAATCATTCTTTTTTTTTTTACTGGATCGGTAGAATTTGTGTTCTTATGTGGATGGAGGTGAGTTCCCATTTATTTTGGTGAGGGTGATGGAAATGAAAGAATGGTGGATGTATGGGTTTGTTGGTCGCTTCTTAGGCCTTCAAGGTCACGTGACTCTTTGGATTTTATTCCATCTCCACATTTACTATTACCCAAACACATCCTCCACAAGCTAAGTCACTATGGCAAAAACTTCAAAAGCTACAAATAATTATCACGTTTTCAAAATAATTCGGAGTAATTATAATAATAATAATCATGTTGTCAAAAATTAATAATAGTACTCCGTAATAATAATAACAACGGTGGGGTTCTAGTGACACCGGAGAACGGTGCCACTCCGGTGCCACTGCATTTTTGGGACACCTCTGGTGCTTCGTTCGAAAAATTGACGGTTCCTAACCCCACCCTTGCACCTCCACCCCAACCCCGTCGTAAGCCCCCACAAAATGTGTGGCTATAATACTATTATTATTATAACAACAACAACAATAATAGCGCTGTTAAAACATTAAAAATAATTTACTTAAATAACACTAAAACATAATGACTTTTCCTAAATAGCACCAGAAGCACTTTTAATCATTATTCATTAGTCATTATTCAAGTAAATGTTCGTCATCACTGGATATTATGAACATTATTAAGTGCTATTTAGAAAATAAAACAGTTTAAGTTTTATTTAGAAAAATAACTTATATTTTAGTGCTATTTAGTGCAAATATTTCTTAAAATAATGGCTGCCTAGCCACAAATATATACTACGGGGTATTAGCTAGAGAGAGTGTTTTTATTTTTAAATTATATGGAGTATATCAATTTTCAAATATACTAAATTAAAAATAACTTTAACGAGTTACTATACCCATTTCCCAGTATTTTAAAGTAAGACATTAACTCTCTTATTTTTTTTTTGTAGGAATGAATTATTATTTGTACAATATTTTGTGTGGTGAGCTATGTGGTCCGGTCCAGTACGTGGGGGCAAGTTAAAAATTTATATATCAACATTTTAACCGGTGATGTTTCTTCAATTCACCTCTGGTTCATTCTGACCTCTGAGCTGGTATATGTATTTAGTTACTTCCCATCATTTCAACTTCTTTTCTTTTTTTTTTCCCTGAATTGTTTTTTTTTTTACGAAATAGAAAACACGGCATATATACAGAAAGTTTATTTGGTTTATTTTTATTTAATTTTAATGAACACTTTTCCTTCTCTAATACACAAATCCTTATTTTTATAGATAACAGATTTCAATCTGTATGGTGATTTAATTTTCCTGCATGTTATTGAAATTTTAAACACATTTCTTCTTCTTCTTCTTCTTCCTCTTCCTTTTAGAATCTTTACGTTCATATAGCATTTTTTAACATTTTTGAAGGCGGTTTTGAGCATCACTCGCGAGCCCTGCACATTCATGGGCTCTTTGGTTATTAATGGCGATTAGCAAGAGAAGGTTAAGGTCTCTCCATCTTAATTATCCAGGTTTAAATCCATCTTTTCTCCTCATTTATTTGCTTGGTTAATTCAGATTCTGGGTGTGTTTTTTATGTTGCAATCCATGATGATTTCTGGAGAGATTAATGTTTCAAGCGTTTGGCATCAGCGTCAGAGATTAGCGTTAGCGTTTTGAAAAAGCTATCCGATGGTAGCCTTTAGCGTTAGCGTTTTCAGAATTAATCTGCACCGTTAAAATTTTATCCAAAACGCTAACACTAATCGAAAAAGCTGTTACCAAACAAATCCAATGTTTCAAGCGTTTAATTTTAACGTTTTAAAAATATTATTCAACCAGTAATTTTTCACATTAGCATTCAGTAATTTCAATGTTAATCAGCACTATTAAAAAATTATTCAAATTGTAAAAGGCAAAAGTTGAACCCTAAACATTCTCTTCTCAATTGTTTTTTTCTAACAATGAAATTTGTATTTAAAAAATATGGGGTAATTAATCCACAGCAATATGTTGTCCCTTTTTGTTTTTCTTTTTTGCAGAAATTATGGCTGTTGGTTTGGGTATTTGAAGGGAGGAAGAAGATGTTTTTTGCCCATTATTAGAGAGTCTCATCCTTACACAACAGGCTCAAAGAAGGAGAGAAATTAAAGAAACTCCGGCAAGATGGACGGGGCGGCCGCGGCGGCTCCGCGGAAGAAGATGACAAAGCAGCTGACCGGAAAACGGGAGGACACGGTGTTGCACTCGTCGGCGAGAGCCGGAAACATGGGCGCAATAAGAGAGGCGATTGAGAAGGCGGCCGCCGGGGAAGAAGAGTTGGGAGAACTTCTGGCCAAGCAAAACTCGGCAGGGGAAACGGCTCTCTATGTGGCTGCAGAGTATGGCTATGTTGAGCTGGTTAGAGAACTGATCAAATACTACGATCTCGCCGCCGCCGGAATCAAGGGTAAAAACGGCTTCGACGCCCTCCACATTGCCGCCAAACAAGGCGACTTAGGTACCCCTGTCAAAAGCGTTAACATTTTGAAAAGACTATAGCTTTTGTTCTTATAATAAGGTGTGATAAAGTGTGGGAATTTTTTGTGTGAAGAGATGGTGAAGGTGCTAATGGAGGCTCACCCGGAGCTAGCGATGACGGTGGACATGGCGAACACGACAGCCCTACACACGGCCGCGACGCAAGGACACATAGAGGTGGTGGATTACTTGTTGGAGATAGAGAGCAGTTTGGCTGCCATAGCTAAGAGCAATGGCAAAACCGCTCTCCACTCTGCTGCTAGGAATGGGCATGTCCATGTCGTGAAGGCGATCTTGCGTAAGGAGCCGAGGCTCGTTACTCGGGTCGACAAGAAAGGTCAAACCGCCCTTCACATGGCGGTCAAAGGGCAGAATCTCAACGTCGTGGCCGAGCTCGTCCAAGCCGATCCTTTGTCCGTTAACATGGTCGACACCAAGGGCAACACCACCTTGCACATCGCAACCAGAAAAGGCAGAGCCCAGGTTATAGAAAGACTAACTTGATTCACATTTTTAGCCCATATGTTTGAAATGTGTCTAATTTGGGATTCCAATAACATGAGTGCAGATTGTAAGGATGTTATTGGAACAGAAGCAAATGGACACGAGAGCGGTGAATCGGTCCGGCGAGACGGCGCTCGACACCGCCGGAAAAATGGGGCACGCCGACATCGAAGCGCTTCTGAGGGAGCACGGGGTGGAGAGCGCCCGGTCCTTCAAGCCGGCGGGGGCTGCGAACCCGGCGAGGGAGCTGAAGCAGACGGTGAGCGACATAAAGCACGAGGTCCACTACCAGCTGGAGCACAGCAGGCAGACGCGGCGGCGGATACAGGGGATCGCGAAGCGCCTGAACAAGATGCACGCGGAGGGGCTGAACAACGCGATAAACTCGACGACGGTGGTGGCGGTGCTCATCGCGACGGTGGCGTTCGCGGCGATCTTCACGGTGCCGGGGCAGTACGTGGACGACCCGGACGACGTCCCGGCGGGGCACTCGCTCGGGGAGGCGAACATCGCGTCGGAGGCGCCGTTCATGGTCTTCTTCGTGTTCGACTCGGTCGCGCTGTTCATCTCGCTGGCGGTGGTGGTGGTGCAGACGTCCGTGGTGGTGATCGAGAGCAGGGCGAAGAAGCGGATGATGGCGGTCATTAACAAGCTCATGTGGCTCGCGTGCGTCCTCATCTCCGTGGCCTTCCTCGCGCTGTCGTTTGTGGTGGTGGGGAGGCACGAGAGGTGGCTCGCCGTGGTGGTCACCGTCATCGGGACGACGATTCTGGCCACCACGCTGGGGACGATGTGCTACTGGGTGATAATGCATCGGATCGAGTCGTCGTCCCTCAAGAGGAACATCAGCTCGGTTCGGGGGTGCAGTAGGTCCAGGTCTTTCTCTGCCTCCGTCTCTGACTCTGAGCTTCTCCATAATGACTTCAAGAAGATGTATGCCATTTAATGCAAGCAATTCGACAAGATATATACTCCGTAGTTTGGATGATGACTTGGGCGGATGTCTTTTTTTTTGGACGACTATAAAGTTAATATTTAATCATTGGGAGGGATTTAGTTCAAAGGTTGTGAAATGAAAAGACCCTAATTTTGGATCAAACATTACCCAAGACTATGGATGGACATTGTCAACCGAAACTACCATTTCAAGAACCAAAACCAACACGACAATGAAAATAAGGCCTTGTTCTTTTGTGTACATTATGTTACAAATTTAGATATATAATGTTATGCTATATTTTAATCATATATAAATACTTTTTTTTAAGTCGCTGTTTGAAAGCAGTTAAATTAGAAGAAACTGAAAGGAATTGGAAATTAATTTTTCCAACCCAAAAGAACAGGACCTAAGTCTCTAACCGTTCCAACATCAGAACCATATCCGCCCCTAGTTAGGATACAACAACTAAAATCACAACCTAAGGGATGCAATCCTTTGGCATGTTAGAACAGTTCTAATTAGTACAAACAGTAGAGGAAAACATGTGTTAATCAGCCGTTAGCACAAACCAAAAGTAATGCCGGGGAGAGGGTTCAATCGAAGTCAAGTGAGATATTTGTAGACGGAATTGAAACACCTAAATGATTAACAAAAACTTTTAAGGAGCCAAGAACAACTCAATACTCAGGCAGGGGATTAATAAGGGGAAACCCGGGTTTTACTACTAATAAGAACAAATGGGTTGTGATGAATACTAGAGTTGATGAACGCACTGTAAACCATATTCTTGAACTAATTGACAGTTGACATTATCAATACAGAATCTACAATGATGGAAAAGATTGCTAAAAAAAACTGATAAACTGGACAACTACTGGTAAGGAACTACCCGGTTACAGAATTTACACCCAAGTACATGGAGGGTTAATGTTGAGGAAGAGGTGGTCTCTTTTCCACCATCTCATATTGTAGCACGAAATTATCCTGCATTGTTAAATGCCAGTTAGCAATGTCCATAATGGCGAGTAAAATAATAGCACTGTAGATAAAAGGTTAGAACGTGCTCCGAGCCTTCCAGTGTACCTTACGAACAGTTTCCCATGTGTTTGGGTCAAAACAAATATAAGATCCTCTCTCGTATGTATTGGTCTTAACAAGAAGGTCCGCGTTGCTTAACCTCAACAACCACAACCGATGCTCTCTATGATAAAACCAGTTTCTGTTGTACCTGCAAGAAAACGGTGCAATACTGCAATTAACCGATGTAGACTTCCGAAACGAATTACACTAGCAACAAAAATGCATATACTTAGGGCCCGTTTGGCAAGACTTATTTTAATTGAAATGGCTGAGGCTGATTCTTCCGGGTGTTTTTAAAAGAAAAGCTTTTAGCAAAATTGATTTCAGCCAAGTCAAATGCTATTTATTCTATTCATCAGAAGTAAATCCAGCCATGTAATGCTACCAAACGATGTCTTAGATTGTGCAGAGGGAGCATACAATTCATTTGCGGCATATAGCTGTGCCTCGTCTTTTGGCATGCTGCGAAGTGAAGAGATCTTTGTTAGTTAATAAGACTAGACATTCAACTAGGAGGAATATATTTTAGTGAATAAGTTTATCCAAATACATGCCTGTAAAATATATAAAACAAAGTATCCAACTGAAACTTTTTAAAGTACGCTTGCTGCATCCAACAAAATAACCAGATTAGTATGGGAATAATTGGGAGCAGGGAAGGAGTTGTAACAGCAATGTATAAATACTAAATAGCACTGACATTTAGTGGTGGCGATTGTTTGGCATAATAACATTGAGGGACATTAAACTCCGGGTCACCCTTGATAGGCTCATCTGACCATGGTGAACCAAATGTCTTGTGCAGATTCTCAGCGGAGTTCAAGTTCAACCCCAGCGTTGTTAGGTCAATCCCAAGTGCAAGGGAAGAAAGGTTGGGATCACTCATCCTTATCACACTTAACAACCCAAGCAAGCCATATGGGTCTGGAGCAACTAAGGGCTTTATGACCTGGTCTTCCCTGTAGGTCTGACCTACGGCAGACATCTGTTGTTGAAGACGGAATTGGTGGGGTTGATTCTGATGCAGCTGATATTGCTGGACTAACTGCTCATATGATGAACTGATTCCAGAAGCAGAGTTTGGAGAGTTCAGAGGTCTCAATCCCAAGCTAGAGGATGCACCCACCTGAAAATTAAGAAAATCCACAAAAATATAAGTATCAGGAATGTGAATTTTTATTCAAGTAAAGCTGGGGAATGTGATATGCACCTGCTGGTGAAACGTTGAATGTGACGGTTGAAAGACATCTGAACCATGTGTGTGAAGAAGATCTTGGTTATTTACATTTGAATATGACACGCCACTACTGCTCACTACCGATGAATGCTGTTGTGGGCGATGAGATGAATATGCTCCTCCCATGTTAAAACTACCAGATCTTCCCATCTACACCCGTCATGAAAGCAGATGTAATAAAGATGAGGTTTTCAATAAATAATAAATATGAAGCAATATCTGATTAAAAAACACTTACAGAAAATTGTTGTTGCATCATAGGGACAGAATTATCATGAAGCTGATCTTTCTGGTGTACATCCATAGGGTAATCACTACTGCCACCTGGGAAATCCAACAGATAGTCAATGATAACTTATCTGAAAAAGCAAAGATCCCATTCTATTTATGATCAATAATCTCCCGGTATTAGTGTGTAAAATTCCAATGTGTTCACATTTAAATGAAAGAACTGGTGGCTCGTGCAAGTGGGCAAGCAGTTTTTCTAGAGATACAGACAAATAGTAAATACTAGCACCAACATGCCCAAAAGAAATATAAATGTACACAAAATAAAAGACGATAAATAGACAAATCGCCAATTGCATGTCAATGTGCTTTTACTTATAGTCAAAATCAGGAATATAAGCTAGCATGTAGCATACCACCAAATCTGTATAACTCAACTTGATAAATGCAATTGAAAATAGAGTGCACACACATTAATGTCGATGTGCTTTTACTTAATGTCATAAAACTCATAACCAGGAATATAAACTAGCAAGTAGCACATGCAGAACATGTATAAGTCAGCCATACGAATGCAACAGATAATAAAGTGCACAAACCTTTAAATCCTGGTAAAGCTGGAAAATCTTCATTTTGAATGCTGAACTCCTGATTTTGCTGAACTATAGGACCAAGGCCTTGTTTTCGCAATGAGCCTGGAAGTGCTCAACTCAAACAAATTATAAGCAATCTAAGAGAACCATTGATACACAAGCCTGAAAAAGAAAGCCTAAATTTCCTAACTCATATCTAGAAAAAATGAAAAGAAAATTACCTATTTGTCCTTGAGGACCTCCAGCAGAACTAGGGCGACTGGATAGTTGAGGGAAATCATTGATATCAAAAGGGGCACTGTCATTTGAATTTATATCATTCAACATTCCCATAGAGTTAAGGTTGTTGACTGCATGGATGTGATTCTGAGATAGTGGGCCACCGACTGAAGGATATGAATTTCCTAACATAGACATAACTTGTGGAGAAGCTGCAGACAAATGCCACTCTTATCATTGCGATAGATTAGCTAAAATATGATAGACGTAAGGTTTGCATANCAAACAAATTATAAGCAATCTAAGAGAACCATTGATACACAAGCCTGAAAAAGAAAGCCTAAATTTCCTAACTCATATCTAGAAAAAATGAAAAGAAAATTACCTATTTGTCCTTGAGGACCTCCAGCAGAACTAGGGCGACTGGATAGTTGAGGGAAATCATTGATATCAAAAGGGGCACTGTCATTTGAATTTATATCATTCAACATTCCCATAGAGTTAAGGTTGTTGACTGCATGGATGTGATTCTGAGATAGTGGGCCACCGACTGAAGGATATGAATTTCCTAACATAGACATAACTTGTGGAGAAGCTGCAGACAAATGCCACTCTTATCATTGCGATAGATTAGCTAAAATATGATAGACGTAAGGTTTGCATACACCTTGCCAGTTGCCACCCCCACTCCCCCCCCCACAAAGACTCTGATCGTGAGGGGGATATACTCGGTTTACTCTAGAAATAATGTCACAGGTATGTTCATTCACTTTCTATAGAGCTAGTAAAATGAAAGCATCACATAAAAACCCATATCAACACAATATAATCATGTAACAGTTGGAAGGAAATAGGCAGCAAGTTAAAATCCTAGTGAAAACGCAAAAAGAATTTTCCACAAATCTTCATTTCTAGCAGGATCAAAGCTTAAGAATTGTTTATGTTGGAATTTACAGAAATTATCCGTATAGACTATAGACACTACCGCAAGATAATTTATATTTGTTTCATTTGCTGAGTTGTTAAACAAACTTTTTCCCAGATGCTTACGATGTTGAAGAGAACCAGTCATAAGCCTATTTGAGCCTTGAATGTTCAAGTTTCCAGAACCACTGTTAGAATTCAAATTCAAACGAGATGCCAGCCCAGGAACAGACAGTACACCAGAGCTAATGTTTCTTCCCATGTTACCACCACCGACTATATTTCCAACTGAGCTTGACATCCTAGGCACTGGAGACACCCCAAGTCCAGGAACTGCATTTCGATTGCCAATAGCACCTGATGTTGGAAGGATTCCGGGAATCGAACCACCAACCCCATTTGTATTGCTACTATATCCTGTATTCCCCATAACACTTAAACCACCTCTACTTGTCATCCCTGTATGAGCATGTGAACTTCCGTGAGATATCTGCACACCAGTAAGAAATGGAATGATAAGGAACCTCTGACCAGCCAATGCTTCAAAAAACCACCATTAAAACATTTTATGAAAGAGTAAGAAAATTTTCATATACAAGTCAAACAATCTGTTACCATCTTGTTGAATTAAAGCAAAGAGCTTTAAAGAACAAGGTGGCTAATCAGCTATTTGGATAAATTTAAGCACACTCACAATGGTGCCCTGCACAGCCTCTGGGCACACCAGAAACATACCTGTGAAAGACCAACTGGCAGATTGTTTGATGCAAAACGGCCACTAGAAAGATTGTTCCCAGACTGTTGGACACTGCTTGAAGGCATATTTATGCTTGTGTTCCTTGATCCAAGTGTACCTGGCATGCTGGGAACGTTGAAACTCCCATGAATATTGTGCAGTCCCTGCACACTTCCTGCAAAAGAAGTTAAAGAACTTTTCTAATCAGCAACATATAAAGCAGAAAGAGATAAAAATCCAAAAACAACTGACCAGAATGATGATAAGCAGGGGATGCTGCACCAGATTGACCAGAAAAAGATGTGTAAGAGCGCCCAGAGTTGTCGGAAAGGTTTGAAGATGAACCATTCAAAGATGACTACAAGCACAACCAAGTAAAAGTAAATTTTTAACACAATGTAGGAGACTTATAAAACCGCTATAACCTAGTTTGAATATGATAAAGTTGTAACAGAAAATAAGTGAATGTAAATTAGTTTGATTATTCCCATGAATAAGAAGGGACAGATCAAATGGGATAGAGGGAACAATACAGAGTCATTGTCCAGGGTTCAAGACAGATATTTACATAACAATATAAAAATGAGATTCTATGGCAAATTTGTTAGTTAAACTAAACGTTTAAAATGCTATGTTGTGCCAATAATCATATTCACTCCACGAAAAAATTTGATATGGTAACAAAAGAAATTTTTTAATAAAGTGCATTGAGTTAAAATGTTCAAGTGCAATAAAGTGATATTTAGATCTTTTTTAATTACATTGTGAGAATGGAAATGGAAATATCCAAATAAGATGAGTGCTAGATGGATAGTACACTCAAGAAGGAATAATACATTAAGCAACCCTGACATTGCAGAGCTTTCAAGAGGGCATGCAGAACTTTTTCTTGCTTGAGCAGCAACTTCTCTCCAGTTTTCTTCAGAGAGGTTTTGGGAAGAAAACTTGATAGCCTTTCCAATGTGCAATTACCTTTAATACAGGAGGATTCAATTAGAGCAGCCAGTTAAGATAAACAGTACAATTATTGGAAAATTAAGCCAATAAAAATTACTAAACATTGCATTCTAACAAGAAATTAGAAAAAAATTAGCTACAAAAATGTAAGGATTATAGTTAAAACACCAAGGAAACATAAAAGAAAATACATTGACATGAGTCAAACGCAGCCAAAGTGAGACAGTAAAGAATCACTGTCCAGGTAACATAAATCATAATAACCATTTTATATTAGTAATCTTGTAAAAGATTTTTTGCCAAAACTGAAAAAGTTTCTTCGCCACACAGCCCTCAAGCCCAGCCACAACTCCAAAAAATGAAATGCAAAAGAGAAACTGCAGAGCACCGCTCTCCAATTTTGGAGCACAATGAGATTATGTTCAAAAGAAGACATGAGGAGAGCTTTTGTCATAGGTAGGAGGTCACCATGGAGAACACAAAAGTGATAAGGAATGCTGAACGCGAACAAGGAACATCTATTTAAAAAAAGTGAAAAAGTTGAAGATATTAGGCAATCGATGAGACATGCTAGAAATACCCGGGGAAGTCCAGCACTCCAGCAACAAGCTATGATGACAACCTATGAGGAAGTTTAGCGTGACCATTTTAATAAATAGGATTTGATGTTTGTGATTTTGTGATGTAGATAAGAAGCTGTATTTTCCAAGCCAGCAATGGGATGGACTAGAAAGATGAAAAAGACAAGAGACAGCAGCTGTCTTACAGTGCTTAAGGTTCCTGGAGCAAGAACGGTGTGTTATAGAAAGAGATTTATAAAGTTGACATCACCAGGTGAGTTTTGGGTTAAAGTTGAAACGGTTGGGCGTGTAAGGAGCTGAGCTAGTAGGGCACAAAGGGAAGGTCGCTTTTGCAATCATAAAGTGGGGTGGATAGAATATTTAATAACCAGAAAAGTGGTTAGTGAACAAAATGCAGGTGCAACTTCACTGGATGATTGACCAGTAGTCCAAGTGCACTGCCTCAAAGCCCTAAACATATGTGTGGAGAAAAACTTGATATTCTCTTCTGACAGCTCACAAAGTCACAATCTAATAAATTAATCAAAATGCTGAGATGAAACAGTTACACACAAGAAAATCAATAAAAACTTATTTTCATTTTAAAACCTGCACATTTGAGAAGCCAGGCTCTAATTATTTGCACCAATAATTATTCGAACGGGAGAAAACTTGTTCAGGCAATATCAATATACATATATGCTTCACAAATTTGTTTCTGATTATTTTATACGGAGAAACAAAGATAGTTTGATTAACCATGAACTTGTAATAGAGTGAAACTTAGCAAAAAAATATAAATGAGAGGTTCTTTTTTGCATTCTGAGAGCATAAGCCACTAGAAGCCCATCAATTACATGCTTCGAGGCAAGAAAAATAAATGAAGAAAGAAGCATGAACTCCATTAACGATAGGAATTTGATTGTTGACTTGTTCAGGCATTATTGGAATTATTCATTAACTTGTGAAGATTTGCTCAGAAATTAACAAAAGTTAACGGAGTTCACATGCCCATCTAGAAAGAAGCCTGAACACCTAAATTAATAAAAGTACATCAACAAAGAAGCCTGAACTCCAATGTCCATCTACACACTACTTCCAGCCAAATAACCCTTTGCTGAGTTGTTAAATAAACTATTCACTAGTGATTTAGACCTAAGAAAGTGCCCCTTAACCTTCACAAGTGGAAAATCAGAACTAAATGAACTTCCATCTATCCTAAGGCCCAATGTAGAATCAACCAATATAAAGTTCCACCGCAATTCATCGAGAAAATCCTGACTAAACAAGGAGTAGAAAATAATTTCATCGAGAAAATCCTGACTAAATAAGGAGTAGAAAATAAAACATCTATCGGAGAGTCTCAATTCACCTTCACTGCAGTTCCACCCCAGAACTCAAAGGAAATCCATGCGCGCACATACATGAATCCACAGACCGAGCATGATATACGATACTCAAAAGTGAATATGGAAACATGCGTAACCCTAAGAACTAATACCGATACAAACATACGCGAAACAAATCAGAGGGAGGAAACAGAGTGCGGATTACCGGAGGGAGATCTGTAGGGAGAAGACGGAGGACTGTACTGGACGACGGCAGAGGCGGCAGAGAGGAGCGGAGAGAATCGAAGGACCAAAGCCAGATGAATTTAAGTGCAGTAAAAATAAATGCGGAAGGAAATAACAATAAAACCTGGTGAGTTAATAAATGATTGAGTCAAAAACACAGCCGAGATTTTTATATTTTGTTGTAATGATTGGGAGGGGACATTTCATCCAATACATCATCCGTAAGTGTTAATAAATGTATTTTTTTTCCTATTTTTCCAATACCGTTTTTTTCTATTTTGTCATTACCTTGTTTTTTCTTTTTTTAAATTTTTTGTATTTCATTTGTTTTAATATAATACAAACAATTTTGAATTTTTATACGATTTTATAGAAGAAATTCTAAAATAACACTTTAAAAAATAGTAACAAAATGAAAGAAAAACAAAGAAATAAAAAAAAGGAGCAACCTAAGATTTATTACCTTAAAACATTTAGAAAAGAATAGGAAAAAAATACATTTATTAACGTTTATAGATGAAATATTGGATGAAATGTCCCCTTCCAGTCATTACAACAAAATGTAAGGACCTCTGTTGTCTTCTTGAAAATAGAGGGACCTGAGAGTTATTTCAACAAAACTCGCGTCACCCGTGACTAATTTTCTATAAAACCTGCAAGTAATTGCGCAATACTCCATGCGGATTGGGCCATCCCAAAAATGAAAATGAAAACCTCTCCTTGAAAAAAGAGCAATTCTAGGTTCACAAACAGGATGCTCAAAAAATTCATAAACTTACTATTTATAATTTAAATTTTCATTTTAAAATTATTTTAGACTATTTAATTTTTTTTGTTGGAGTTCACAAATAATAAGTTTGTGAACTTTGTGAGCATTCTGTTTGTGAACCAAACATTTACCTTGAAAAAAAGATTTGAATGTTAGAATAAATTGGAAAGAATTGAAAGAGACTAAAAGAAACTGGAAGAATTGAAATGAATTGCACGAAATTAGAAGAAATTGGAAAAATTTGAAAAATTTGAAAAATCCTAAAAAACAACTTTAAAAAGAAATTATTTTAGTGTATTTTTATATTATTCTCATTCTAATTCTTGTAGTTATAAATTATTATTAGTATCATCATCATGATCACGTTATCTTAGCGGTCTTTAAGATAAAAAAAGATATTGTTATTTTTTTCACTCACAAAAAAATTACTTTTGCAAAAAAATAATAATTAGAATATGCAGTTAGCATAAATATCAAAATGTTAAATTTTAAAAAATTATTGTGGTTATGTTGCACCTCAAATTATTTATGCAGTATTTATTATAAAATAATATATTTATAATTATACTTTATATATTACAACATTTTGTTTTAAATATCAGACAAGTCATATAATATAATCAAACCTATTTTTTCTTTTAAAATTGACATTTTATTTTTATTGTAACTCCTATTTTTGGAATAAAGAACTCGAAGGACCCATACCTAAAAGTACCCTTACCTAAAAGTACAACACCAAGTTGAAGGAATTTTTAATCAAACTTCTTGATTAAAACGGGGCACGTCAGTTTTCATACAAACTAATCTTGCAAGTCCTATTCTTCAGATCTTGCGGTTGTTGAAGAAGCTTGACCTTCGAAGGAACAACACAACCCGCACGTGTGAAATAGCAACATTTGCTTTGCGAAGATATACCGTGCTTTCACTACTGTAATTATGGTTCACTTTCGGCAACCAATTACCTAGTGGATTTTGAGAACGTAGCAGGATTACCCCACCTTCGAACCTTGTTAAAAGTTTAGTGTCTCCTACTTTATTTGTACAATATTTGTATGTTTTACTCCTACTTTAGTCTTTTTCTCTAAACTATTTTGATTCTCAAATGTTTTTATAAAAATGAGAAAAATGAAAAACAAAATTAAAATTTGAAATAAATAAAAATGCTTAAAAAATGAGTAATAAAGGGAAAGGTGAGGGGGTGATATCAATTTATATCAATGAAACATTCTATTTAACTATTTTATCCATAATTTTTTAATATAGTTTAAAATATTGATATTTTCCTCTTTTGTCATGTAGATTAATATATAAAGAATTGTCTAATTCATATTAAAAAGTTAAAGAAAAATAATGTAAATCGTAAAAACAGTACAGTGAGATGAAAAATAATGAAATAATTTATAAACTATAGTTATGAATATAATAGTTGTAATAATGATAATGATAATAATAATAATATATCATTTTTAGAGTAAATGGTTGGAGAGTAGCAAGAGTTTGAACAAAATGAGAATAGTTAGAGAAAACTAGAAAAACTGGAAGAAACGTGAAAATTTGAAGAAATTGGAAGTTAATAGTTTAAGCTCTGAAGAACAGGCTCTTATGGCATATTTGGGAATAGCGTTAGTATTTAAAAAAAGTTATCTACATACAGCATTTAACATTAGCATTACAAAGTAATCTGCACCGTTAAATTTTTATCCAAAACGCTAACGTTGATCTCTAACGTTATTCCCAAACAAGTTACACTTTCTATCGAGATAGTACTGTGCGGCGATTAGGAGTGTTAACTGATCAAGGCTCTTTTCAATAGAACTTGTTTTTCTTACTAAATTTTATAATTGGTTTTCTAAACATAAGGTTTTCTAAATTTATGTCATATTCTCTTTATTTGATCTAAATGGTGTAGATTCGATTAGAATAAATTTTAATTTGATCTAAATATAGTTTTATTTAACGCTATTTCTCATCTGATTTGACTTATACAGCGTATGAAACATGTTGATGTTGATTGTCATACGGTTCGCGAGAGTGTTCAACGATACGAGGTGTCAACGAGATATGTTCCCACTCGGTATCACTTAGCGGATATTTTTACTAAACCATGGACAAAACCTGTTTTGGATTTTTTATTGTGCAAGTTGGGCATTCAGGATCTTCATGCGCCAATTTGAGGGGGAGTGTTAAAGGGTATTTGTATTAATGACGTAGATTAGTAATTTGGGCCCTCTACTTAAGCCCGCTTGTATGTTTGTGTATATATACCATGGTGATTAATGAGAAAGGCAGATCAGTTTTCGCTAAAATTTTACATGGCATCAGAGCCCAACTCTTGGGAAAACCTAAACCCCCAGTTTCCTCTAGTTTGCCGCTTCGGCCGCCGCCATCGCTTGCGGTTTGTCCAGCAACGACGACATCACCATCAGATCTCGTTCTTATCACGTTTTGTCTCTATTCCGCATCTAGTAGCCACATAATCATAGATCGATACTTACCGATTTGTTTCGTCCAGCCATAATCAAGAGCCCAATAAAGTGCTGCATCGGCTTGAAGCTTCTTTTCAACTATTGGTCAATTGTGGTGAAAAAACGGGTTACTTTGGTTTGTCACTTTGTTGGTTTTGTGTTGCTTATGTTGTTGTAACTAGCCGTATGTTCGGCATGTTTGTTTGTGAGGTTGGTCGCAAAGTCATGCTTTAGTCCGGCATATTTGTTTGTGAGGTTAGTCGCATAGTCGCACCTCATTCCGACATATTTGTTTGTGAGGTTGCTCGCATAGTCGCAACTCTATCCGGCAACATCATGTCCATTTATTAGTCTTCCCGTGTGTGAGTCATTCATCATCATTTCCTAGTTGTTCAATGCTTGGTCACGCACCTTCGTCCGATGTTGTTGCAGCAAATCAAATTTCGTCCCAATTGGCTATCATGGTTTGTTTATTTTCTAGCTTATGTTTAATTATTTTTCAAGTTGTGCGTTCGTTAACATCATGCTCAACTTGAGGGGAAGTGTTAGCGGATGTAATTAGGTTCTAGTAATATTGGGCCTGTTAGTGGGCTTGAAATTAGGTTAGAGTTATGTTTATATAAATAAGGCGTTTCTGATCAGTGTATTCATCAAGTTCAGTTCTTATAATATTTCTACACACACACATATATACTCCCTCCGTCCGGAAATAATCTTCTCGTTTCTTCTTTTTTCTTGTCCGGAAAAAATCTTCCCATTTCTAATTTTAACCCTTATTCTTCCAAAACTACACTTCTCATTAAATAACCTTTCTTTCTTTTTTTCCTTTTCTTCCTATTCTTCTCTTCTTTCTTTTCCTTTCCTCCTCCACTTCTCCACCTTTTTTCTCCGTCTCATCTCTCCATCTCCTCGTCACTTTAATTTCTTCCATTCATTTTTCGTCTATCTCATCTCTTCCTCCTCATTTCTCAGACTTTCTCTTCTCCTCTCTCTCTCCCCCTTGATTCTTCCTTCTCTTTCTTCGATTCTTCTCTGCCTTCGATTCTCCTCTCTCCCCCCCCCCTCCATTTTTCTTCCCTCCTCCTTTCCTCTCCGTCTTTCTTCCAAATCTGGGCTATGGCGGCAATGGTGGCGGCGATTGTGGCGACTAACGTGATGGTGAGTGTAGATCTATACTACTACTCATTATTTCTTATAGATCTACACCACCACCACCCCTTTCTCTTTGTATTTATTTTAGATCTGTTCCATGGTAGCTGTGATGGTGGTACATGGGACAGTGTTGGGGCTGACCATGATGGTGGGGATGCCAACGGTGGTGGGGCTGGCGGCAATAAAAAGATTGATGGTGGTGGCAAGGGCTGGGCTAGCGGTGGTGCTGGGGGCTAGGGAAGATGTCGGAGCACCGGCGGTGAAGGGATAGTGGTAGGGCTCAAGTTGGCGGTGGGAGCTGGCGAATGTCAGAACCAGGGACGTCTAGCTTCCTCATTCATTCACTAGCCTTTTTAAGGGCATTTTAGTCATTTCAACTCATAAGTCAACCATTCAAAAAAATGAGAAAAAGTCCAAGTTTTTTCGGGACGGAGGGAGTATATATATTTGTTTGTTTGCTTGCATTCCATAAGTGAGGAAAAAGGTTTTCTTCCACACCCCTCACAAACAATAGGACCCACCCTAAATAAAGCAATATTTTCTTTTCTTTTTTCGCTTGTATTTACTTCTTTTGTTATTCTTTCTTCTACCTTTGTTTTGACCCTTTTTAAACTCTTTATTTATTTTTTTATATTTTTATCAAAAATAAAAAAAAGTTAAAAAATGCACAAAATAATAATGAGCAAAAGGAAGAGAGATAGAGCGACAACAACAACAAAAAGGGAAATAAAAGAAATATTTCTACTTTATATTACGGAGTGCGTGAACAAAACGAAACAAGGAAAATACAAAAATAATGGAATTTGACTATTTGAGTAAAAGGATACAAAAAGCATACAAAGATAAAAATGAAAATAAAAATATTTAAGTTTAAGCAATACAAGGGTGTGAAAATTTGAAAAAAATATATATATGTATATGAAAACAATTTATTTATTTTTTATTCCTTTGTCAAAATAAATAATTTAAAAAAAAGAGAAAAAAATTAGAAATAGGAAAGAGAGAGAGAGAGAGAGAGAGAAAACCAACTAAAAAAGGAAGAAATATTACTATGACTGCAAACCTTTAGACTATAAGCGCATTATGATCATTATTATCATCGATCAAAAGCCTATCTTTGTAACTACTACAAAATTAAATAGACATTGCTTATAGTGCGTGAATCAAACAGATGAAATAGTTTGGATTTTTTGAAAGATTGGAGTCTACTATGATTGATAATCATATCATTATCTGTAGCTTCACTCGCATTATTTCGTGTAAAGAATTGAGGATCAGTGCTGTTTATCGTAAACACATTCCATCTAAAAGAGAGGAGTCTTTAGGTATCAATGAGCTCAATTACATATATTATTTAATCAGTTATGGCTTTTAGAAGGAGATTTCAACACTACAATCACCATCTTAATAAAACCACCTCCCATAACAAACCTTTTCTTCTCAAATCCTCCCTTAACACAGACACTTCTCCAAGGCCATTTAAATTCCTTAATTAAAAAACAAAAACAAAAAAAACATAATACTCCTTAATGTTTTAACATAAAAACACTCAAAATCATCATTATCAAGAACCAGGACAACTTCATCGTGGTCAACACTTTCGTCCTGGTAAAAATTGGCTTTGGTACCCAAACCCAGAATCGGAATCAATATCACCCTGGAAGGTTCCAACCCCGGTTCTCCCTACCCACCCTAAAGGTTTCGATTCTGATTCCGTAACCACCGGTTTTGGTTCAAGTACCAGTTCGAAACTAAAATTATGTTCAGTTCTAGTTGTGCTAAGACATCGAATTTGACACCATTTTAGCATCAAAATTTTTACACGCGCACAAATAAACATTAGGAAACTTCAAATAAATATGTAAGAAAAGTAGTTTTGAATATGAAAAAATCATCTTTGTTTGTCTTTGAGATAATACGTTATAAATTTAGATATACTTCATATGATATTAATGTTTATTCATCATATGTAAATATATTTTTAAAGTCATTGGAATAAACAGAAATGAGTTATAAAAAAACTAGAAATTATTACTAGAAAAACCAGAAAGAGACCCCAACTCTTTTCCTAATTCTAACATGTTTCCTAACTTTTAAATTATTACGGAGTCCTAAGCAAATCTTTTCTCTATGTTTAACAAAAAATAAAGAGCATTCCTTAAGACAATATATGTGTTGAGACAGGAACAAAACATGACTCCATATTATTTTCTGTTTACGTTTTTTCCCCATGTAGAAATAAAACATGCAATCTATTTAAGAGTTTGTTCTCTTTCATAAACCTGATTGTTTTTAACTTGCATTTATTCAAGTCTAGTTTAATTCTTTCTGATCTGAATCTTTCTGATCTTAATTTGACCACCATTGCTTCCACTTTCCGTGCTCCGTCGAACAACAAAGCCAAAGCCCACAATATCATCATGAATTAATCCGGTTGAAGCATCAACGTTCATTTTCATAGATCCCTCGTCACTGTGAGCTCTCCAAATAGAGCAACCTGCAAAAGCAATCAGCCAATCAATCCGTAAGCCACAAGTTCCAAGTGATGATTCCATTTGTGCATTGTTATCCTCTCTCTCTCTCTCTATCTCTCTCTCTCTCTCCCTCTCTCTCTCTCTAGGAAGAAAGAAATCCCATCTCAGCGAGATGGCTAGAATGCAAAAACGGCATAGGAATTCACTAAAAATAATGTTTGCTAATTTTCAATGTTTATGCTTTTAACAATGAGTCAGTTCGACTGAAGATTTGAAGTTCAGTAGCCACAAATGAACAAAATGCAAAGGTAAAGACAGATTGTGCACTTGGGATAACTTATTTTCAAGGAATAAGTGCCTTTTAAAGTACAAAAAAACTCTAAGAACTTAAATTAAATGAAGAAAAACTTTACCGTAACTATCCCAAACATGCTCTACTAACATACCAACAAACCTATCAGGAATATATCAAGTGTAGCCCGCACATGCGTACTTCCACTAGGGAATCCCATTACCCAGAATTGGTCGGTAATATTCACACTTCACAGAATGTGATATGAACGGCATGTGCATTGCTAATGACTCAAGGCTTGTATTGGAATGTTTAAGAACATGAAGACTATTTTACCAATAATTACAATTCGGGAAACATAAAGAAGCTAGTGTGGAATTACCTATTATGTCTTCTGCTTCAGAACAAAGGTTTGTAAAACTTCTTTGGAGGCAAAATAAATCCAGATTTGAGAGACCAAAACACAGTGGAGTAACATGTGCTCATCTGTCTGCCAAGGTGAACCCCTCTTATAGTCTTATTTGATCCAAATACATATTGCAATGGAGAAATATGCGGTAGGCAAGGGCATCTGAGAAAAAAAGCCGCACATGACCCCATAATTATTTAGGCCCCAAAGGTGTGGATGGTAACCGACCATAACTATTGCTAAAACTAAGTTACTCTGACCTTGAGATTAAACAATCCATTTAAATGTTACTCTTTGCAAAGACCTTGAAACTTGTCTACGTCTTCCTTCCACTATTGACCGTATAAGGAAGATGTTTTCTCTTTTGATAAACAATTAAAAGTAAAGTTGGGTAGCACTTCACCTCCTGCAAGAACAATCTCAAGGGCTGGCGAGTAAATCTTTGATTAAGACTGTAATATAAGCTATTACCAATTATGTTAAGTGAATGTTTCTTCTGGCTAAAGGTGTGTTCAGTGATCTGTAGAGTATGATGGCAGTCTTTTGATAGGGCAAAAGCACCGAAAAGGACAGGATTCATCATTGACTCAGTGATGAAGGCTAAAATAGGAAATAACCCTAATATCTATTGAAGAAGCCATTGGGAGACCCAATCTGTGATCAAGAATGGATATACATGGAAAACTGGCATATGCATAAATCGATCTTTGGAGGGGTCCCTGGCTGTTGAATATACATAGCCCTCATATCTCTTCTCAAGCACTGTTTTTGTGCAAGGTTTCTAGGATATTAAGCGAATTAGCTCCTTCAATCAAATAGACCAGGACCTTATTCGGTCTTTTCCCCTGTCAGTTAGGAACAACAATGATCTACTTCTTTATACTAGATTATTGAAAGGAGAGGTATTTACTCTGTTAAACGTTCTTATAAAGAAGAGCACTAACCTGGTGCACGGAACCAAGGCAATACCTTGATGCTTCTGATATTGGGAGAATATGAAGTCTGTTAAACAGCAATAGTACCCAGTACTGCCTTGGCACTGCTCATGTACAATGCTTACTGGAATAATAAGTCTGGTGAGATATGCTACTATCTTGTTTAAGGCTAAACCTAGAGAACATTCTATCTGATAATTGGAGCATAATTCCTTAGTGCATCAATCTTTTCAATAACTAAAACAATGAGATTGTAGTTGAATTCAGGAATGAAATGTTGACAGCAGCAACTAACCATGTGAAATGTTGACAGCAGCAACTAACCATGTTTGTCTTTTTGCATTCTCTACCAACTAAATTTTGATCTCTTCATTTATCTTTTAGGACAAAACATCATCCTTTTTTCCCTTAAAGTTCAGAATCTCTTCCACGATATACTTGTGACTTTTACACTATGTTTGGTTCAAGGAATTTGTAAGGGAAAAGAAAAGAAGATTGAGACGGAAAACAGTTTTCTTGTTTGGTTAGAGAGGAAAAGAAAAGAAAAGTGAAAGCAAAAGAAATGAGAAAGCAAGATGCACTAAGAGAAGAGAAAATCAAATTCCTCCCATTTTGGTGAGGAAAATGAGAGAAATTCATTTTCTTTTCTTTCCTTCCAAATTCCTTGAACCAAACATAATGTTAAGCAATAACTTGCACGCATTAGACAGAGATTTAGAAATTTGCACAAAGAAATAGTTTCCATAAAGTGAATCAAACCTGTGCAGTAGAGTATTTGTATCTTTGAGGAAACACAATTTATGGATGAACTTATTCACTACTTAAAATCAATAGGAGACACTAACCTCATTTGCATGAGACAGGTTAACATGTTTCACATGCAACCATTATATAAATGGTGATATGAACCCCGTAATTACAAGGTTTAAATGGGAAGAGAAGGGGTTTAAATGCCAAAAAAGTTTCAAAATAGAAATCAAAAGTAAAACAAGTTCACTTTGGTTCCAAGTACAACACGAATACCCACATAAAGCTTAAGACTCAATACACAATCTAAATTATCTAATGGAAGGTAGGGTGATTAAATATTATGTTTAAAAATGATCATATTAGGGAAATCTATATTTGTAATATTGATTAATAAGAAGTATTTCACTTTAAACTGAAGCACAAAATTAACTTAATCGTGCAATAAGAGGTACATCTATCTAACAGGGAGAATGGGAATAGTATGCAGTACACCTAATTAACTTAATTTTTTTTTTTAAAAAAATTATATTCTAAAAAAACTCAACCTTCAATAGCACCACCTTCAACATATTTTTCAGCCCCATCTACATTAGCATCCTATTTTTTAAGTTTTTTAAGCATAAGGAAGAAATTCAACAAATAAACTAAAACGTACCCAAATTTCTATATGTCGACAAGTTATTTAAAATTTAACGTGGACACAGAAAATATTTTACTTATTAAAGAAGTATGAGAGATTTAAATAACATGTTGGGAGTGAGACAATCATTTCCATCCATATATACTCAATAATAATACTACGTACTTTGTAATAAATATAATAATAGTTCATCTATGCCAAAACGTACAGGTATTAGCTATTAGAGAATATAGAGAAGTCCTTTAGGTTCTTCCATATACTCAAATGAAAGAAATAATTCATTCCAGCAAAAATATTACATGCAAAAAATACCTTTTAGAGAAAGTTCTTGAGTTCAACACTAGCTTACAAAATCACACACCTGAAACCCAAAAGGAAAATTGTAATGGAGTTGGGGAATACACTTCCTAATTGCCCTTAAGACTTCTATCTAAACCCAATACAGATGGCTTTATATCATAAAGAGTTTTCCTTAAAACGAATATAACAACCCTTACAGAAATTATGAAATTATATATTAAGACTTGTTTTCTACCTTGTGCTTCACACGGACTCGTATAATCTCACGTAAAATATAACTATAAGCTCTATTTAAAAAATAAATAAAAATGAACTACCCAAAAAATTTATCAATACATTTTTAAATATGATATTTTAATGTATGTTTGTATAAGAAAATAAAGTTTTATTAAGAAGAAAATAGTATAAAAAGGAAGTGAGGGCCAAACCAAATCCCCTCAAAGGAGAAAAAAAGCATAACATACTATTAAAAACTTTTTAAATTAAAAGTACTGAGGGAAAAGACCGAGCAGAAAAAACTAGAATCCTAATCAACTAATAAATAATACTACAATCATTGCAGATTCTCAAAGGAGATCAACATTGCAGCATTACCAAACAAAATCAGCATCCCAAGCCAGTGTAGCATTGGAGCCTAACCAATTTGCTGAAAATGAAACCTAAAAAACAGTCAAATTTCAATGCATCAAAACTCTCTAGGAAGAATAGGTGAGTAAGCAAGACAGAAATAACTAAGATATTGCCATTACACCTAATGTGTAGCCACAAATCCAGTAATAAAATGATCCCAAGGCATCATTAGTTAAGGTATTTCCATTAGGTCTAATGTGTAGCCATAAATTTAGCAACAAAAAAAACAAGAAAAGGAAAATTAAACTTAATGGCAATGCAATATCATTTTCGCAGAGCAGTAATATAATTAGGAGTTAACTCAAAGCAATATAGTAATAATCCATAAAGAGATAACTCAAAGAAATAGAGTAATAATCCAAATGCAACAAAAACTTTAATAAGGATGACTTACTTCTTTTCACTACTTGCTTTTAAAGTTATTGTTCTTTTTTTAAGTGGCTGTCTTTTTTCTCTTACCTTTTAGAGCTTGGAATGTAATGTCTCTAGTTGCTTGCCTTTCCTTTTTGGACATGAGCTCTTTAATATCCGTAAAAGATCCTTTGCAAAATCATCTTCACTCAGCTCCTCCAAAATCCCAATCGGCATCGCCAACTTGCTATTTGCTAGAACTTTGGCCTTGCTCCAGATCATCATTTGTAAGGGGGAGTATGTCCTCTTGTAGAGTTTAAATAGCACCAAAGATTGTTTTCCGCTCCTCGAGTACTTCCAATGCTTGTATGGGAGAATCATTGAAAGGGTTGTCATCAACATTAATATGATTGTAGAAAATGGGATTGTCACTTGGAGGATCCTTTTCTTCCCATGCATTCAGCCGATGAGCCAAACTTTGTGTAAATACTAAAATGAGTTTGATTCTACATCTCCTATTTTTTCTTCTTCTTGTTCCCTAGTAAAGGCAAAGCTATGAATTGATTTGGAACAAATTATGCTTCCATGGAGAAAGTAAGCTTCATCGCTAGAAGCCTTTATCCAAACATATGCTCAGTGTTCTACATCCTCCTGAGATAACCATTATATATACAAATATGGTTCATATTTATAATATGGATCTTATATAAGCAATAATTAACAATATGCAGGTTTAACTAATTTTATAAAAAAAGGATGAACACCATAGGACTTCACGCGAACCTAAGAAGAGGTATATAAATCTCTAATATCAAGTGATTAATAGGAAGTGAGATTCATCTCAGGTATAATTAGTATGAGTATATGACATGACTTATGAACTTTTAAAACTCAATTTAAAAAATAAGTTTCAACTTACCTAATAAAGAATGAATCAACATAAGGAATGAGAAGTATACAATTTTACTTTATATTAAATTGTGCAAAAAAAATTAGGAGAACTAATTATAGGACAAACAATATAACTACAGAAAAAAGTGTGTTTCATGAGATTCAAAGATATGTAAAAAGACTTGCAATCATATGGGTAGTAAATAATGTCATAATGGTTAAATGCAGATTATAAGTCTCTATGGAGTATATGCACAATTAGTTGATGACTTGAGGGAGTGGTCCAAATTAAAATTCTATAAACAATAAATGATTTACCTCCATCCCAAGTAATGTCGTCTGGACTGAAATTAAACAACAAAAATGAGAGTAAGTAGATTGAATTGAATCTCTATGAAGCATACTTACATCAAAGTATGTTGTATATAAAACATAGAGCATGTCCAGAAACACATAAAGAACATATAATCAAGCTCTAAGGTTATACTGATAACAGAAATCCATTCCATGATGCTATAAACCAGTTTTTTGGATAATTTCATCAGTTCTATGAATATCTATGGCTATACGTGAAGGGAACTATCTTTTAACTGCAACTTCAGCAAGTCTTTGAACTCATTCCTCTTAGTGTGCCAACATTAGATGAATAAAAAAGAGAGAAAATCAAGCATGCCTGAAATGTTGTACTTAATTTCTCTTTTCATACTTCTATCTTTCGTACTTCCTATTTCGTTCTTTTTATCCCAAAAAAGGGCATAAATGACATCAAATTACTTGTTGAAATGAAACAAAGAGTGTGCTCAATGTCGTTTTATCTCTTTTTCTAGCATTTTTGAGTGAGTATATAGATGGGATTGAATAAAAGTATATGTTGATTGAGATTGATTGTGCTTAACTTGGATATATGCCACAAAGTTATGTGTACCTTATTCCTCCTGCAAGGGAAAGAAAGATTATTAGAGTAATGAACAGATATTTGAAAAAAGTGTGAATTTCTTCTCCTTTAATGATTTGACCCATGTGTCATTGTTCTAGAATGAACATGCTAGGGAAAAATGGAAAACATACATTGTTGATATGGACCATTCCTCTAGAGTTATACTATACTATCAATGGTTATTGCATAAGTTTTTATTACATGGGATCATGTGACATGACTTTCTCAATCTACTGATAGACCTAAACAACAATATTTAAAAACAGTATACACCAAACTCTAGACTATCCTGCATGTGAGAAAAGAGATTGTTTGAAATTGTACTAACCATATGAGTAACATTGGTTGCTACACTGCTTTTGTGCAGGAAGTTTCCCTGAAAATTCCTACGATGGTGTATATAAAATTTATTGTTATTATTTCTACGGGGCAGTAGTTTTTCTAATTAGTTCCTGATTATTGAGAAGATAAGAATACATGTAGCGGCAGTTGGTAGCTCCAAAAAATCAATGCTGGCCTCAGACTTTGTTCTGCCACTAGGGTTGTTCCAGTAAAGCCAATCTCAATGGCTTCCAATTTCATGCTGTGTTTTTTCTATTCATTTTTTCAAGGAAACGCCATTCCTAAATGATTTTACATGTTAATTGGGAAAAAATAGGGTAAAGAAGATGCTGAAAATCTCACAGTTTATTGTGATCTTTGATCTTCCATGAAGTTGAGAAGTCAATGTCATACTTAAGTGTCATGTTTGGGTGTAGATGATTTTCTATGCATTTTTTCAAAGAAACACCATTCTTAAATGATTTCACAGATTAATAGAGCAAAAACAGGGCAAAGAAGATGCTAAAAATCTCACAGAGTATATTATGATCTTTGATCCTCCATGAAGCTCAGAAGTCAATGTTTGGGTACAGAACTCCTTAGTGTTGGGTACAGAACTCCTTAGTGTTGTCCTCTTCCACTGTTCTATTTTCCTTTGCCGACAATTCATCAAACAGTTGATGGATATATACCTACACTATGTTTGGTTCAAGGAATTTGAGAGGGGAAAGGAAAAGAAAATGAGAAGGAAATCATTTTTTTTGTTTGGTTAGAGAAAAAAAGTGGAAGGAAAAAAAATGAAAAGGAAAAATGTAATAAGAGGAGGGAAAACCAAATTCCTCCCATTTTAAGGAGGAAATTGAGAGAAAACCATTTTCATTTCTTTTTTCTTCCAAATTCCTTGAACCAAACATAGTGCTAAGTAACACCTCAAGAATCTAATAGAAATGCTTGTAATACTACTATGTGTCTTCCCCACAAAGAATTTGAGTCAACAAATTGGGAGGATCTCGATGTAGATTTATCTTAAGAGCATTTCACCTCATCGGCAATACCTTCATCGGATAAAATGAGAAGTAGGCCTATATATCTTTCTTTGCCAATAAGTTATTAATACTTTTTTTATAGTTGCAAAGATTACTTATGCTTTGTCCTTAAAATGGTCAAGAAGTTCAAGAGGAATCAAATGAGGCAAACCTTCACAGATTCTTCTTCACAATTGTTTTGTCGAGCAAGCGGATGACCATATTAATTAACAAAAAATCACATCAAAACTCAACACCTTCAGTAACCATGTGCTAAAATTATATCTATGTCATCTTTCCCGAGTTCAATATAAGAGAGCCCGTATGCACATAGCCTCCGTAAGGATACAAATCAGTTAAATTTTATCTGAGGAGCATTTCACAAACCACCATCATCAGAATATATAACTTTAACCAAGTACTGGATATTCTCAAGAAAGTGAAGTTATAGTGATCAATAAATCAACAAATATAAAAGTCAAAGCCAAAAGAACACCTGCCAGACAAAGCACAACGCAAGGAAGAAGGCTGAATGAGCGGCAAGGAGGAGCTAAAATGGCAATTAAAGGGGTTGAGCAGGGAAGATGAAGAAGCAAATTAGTGGAGAACAGCAATTCAACCTAGACTCATAAATGTCATGTCCTTCTCAATGTGGGGGAACTGAGCACACATAAGTTATCTTCTCTATGGAGAAACAATGGGTTAAGCATGGGAAATAATCAAAGATGCTGAGGCCAGGGAAGCAAATCATTCAAGAATTTGAGGTGGTTGAGAGAAGAGGACATCCTTGGCAGAAGAGTTGGAAAGTTAAATTTAATGAAATCAACACAGTAAAATAAGTTCTCTTAAACTTACTCTCTTTAAATATGAATATTGAGAATTTGATGTTAGCATAAATTCCTGTCTCTAGTGGGAAACTGGGAGTAACTAAGGAAGAGTAATTGTAGTTAGTTCTCTTTTGTACCTACTGCTAATTAGTTCTTTTTTGTACCTACAGCTAGCCCAAAACACCTTGGCATTACTAAAAATGTGAGAATAGGAATAAAATATGTCTCAAATTTCTGCCTCAAATATCTAATGCTTTTTACTTTCTCTCAGACACAAAAACTGGTTGGATCAACCGTACTTGTAGCTGACAATGATAGACCAGCTGAGTAGGAGATAATCCATGTCAAGCACTCAAGCGTCATCTCATATGCCACGCGTCAGACTCACACCTAAAGAACTCTATTTTATAAGTAAATAATTAAATCAATCAACGTAAACAAAACATTTATAATGATACCTTATTAAACAATCTACAAATAGTCCTTTAAGAAAAAAAGTAAAAGCAAGGATCATATAACTCACTCTTCAAAACTCCAACCACTTTAAAAACATACCTGGTCTAGAAAGCTTTTATTCTTGATTCTACATAAGCCAGCAATGCCATTTCCTCTGCTGTTTGTAGGCTAGTAGGTTGAGAAGGAACCTGTCGATATCAAGTCCATTAAATTCAAAAGATCAAAATAAAGGTCCATCAAGTACACCCAAACAAATGCAATAAATCTGTTTAAAAATCAACAATTTGCACGGGAAAGAAAAGTAATTCTGCAAAAATGAGTCAACCATTCCAAGCAGTTGGACCATGAACATTCTGGAGTAATGAAACACCGTTTCAAGAACAGTGTTGGAAGGCCCGGAAGCGGACATCAACCACTCCAACTCCTGTTAAGATTCGTGTAAGCAAATCATCAAGCACATTATGTGCGTCTGTGAGAGAGCACTAAGAACCTGAGACACGCAGCCCAAGATGTAGAGGAAATTTGCTCTCGTCTGTTCAAATTTAAGAGGAAATTTTACACTTGTGTTTGAAGAGTAATTCCAACAAACCAGCATAGAGAAAATTTCATGAAAAAGGGGTAGGGTTGAGGAACTGTGAAACTACATAGTTTGAACACACAACAATAGAATAAAGAGTAAAGAAATAGGTCTTCGAAGGAAATACCTGATTGATGAAGGCATTTTATTTGTAAAGATCTGATGGGGTATCCTTAGATCAACAAATATAAAAGAATACTTGCCAGACGAAGCAGAACGCAAGGAAGAAGGCTGAATCACCGGCAAGGAAGAGCTAGAGATCAGCGGAATACTGACGGGCTGAGCGGAGGAGAGGAGACTGTGCTGCCAAACACAGAGAAGATGAAGAAGCCTCCAATATAAGAACAGCAATGCTAAGACAGATGAAAGAATTCAACCACGGTTCATAAACTCACCTTAAAAAACCATGTCAGAAGCCCAGTGCCATCCTCACAATTGATGAATTCTATCATGTATACACACACACACACACATGACGGAATATATTTAATCTACTCATGATCTGGTAATCATCCAATGGTAATCATAATATATATGTTAGCAGGTTGTGCAAAAAGATAAATTTGAATAATGTGATTCAGAAAAGTGTGAAATGTCAAGATTGGCGGAAAACCAACTTCCCAAGGAAAACATATCGGAAAAGTCACTCATTCAAAATGGTGTAAAACAGTGTCAGCATTAAGTTCATACAAAATACTTAAAATGATATACTCCCAAAATTGTGTTAAATTCCTAATTTTTTTCCCAAGTCACAAAACCATGTCTCATTTTGTTAAGGGAAAAAATATGAGATTCATATTATTTCTCTCCTCCACATATATATCAATGAACAGTTTTCACTCCCCTAATTCAAGTTCCCAACCAAATTGTGTCCCGATTCTGGGACAAGGTGAGTGCATAAAATGTGAATGCTGAATTCATACATGAGGTTACCATTCAAAAGGCGAACTCCCCTGCCACTCTCATAGTATTTCCCATCGCGTACTGCTACTAGTGGCCTAGAATCAAAGCTCGTTATAAATATTTGATGATAAATGATTAAATGTAAAACATGATGAAAGCATCTATGAAGTATTTTTATTTTTCACACATAAGATGTATACTAATGATTGTAACAAGAAAAAGTATCCTAAAGGCCTTACACGAGATATAGATTAAGACATAAACTATACATATTTCACTACTCAAAGTTTTAAGGGAGACAGTTTATCACTTTGTAGTTATGATGGTACACCTGTGAGCGAACTACAAAAACTTTATCCTCATCGGTTTAATTACTTGCTACGGAATATATTTTATTAGAACGTGCAAGAGTATTGCACCAAATGTGGCCAGGCTTTGGGATGTTTTCTATTTTCCTTCCACTCTTAGCGTCGTCTTATTGCCTCTTTTTTATGTGACATTTGAGTGATCAAGTGTGGATCAAATTTGATGCTTCAGTTGATAAAAGAAAATCATTCAGTTAATCTCTATTATTAACACATTATTTATCTTCAAACTTGTGCATCCACTACCGCATCCAAGCAAAATAAATTCTTTAAGCCTCTCAACATCAATATACTGGAAAATGGCAATAAGATAAATGAAAAGAACTCAACATCATAAAGTGTAGGAAACATCATAAAGTGTAGGAAACAGCTAGAACTAGAGTAATTTAATAAGGGAACATCATGGAACATGTACCAAGATTTACAAATCTCCTTAAGAAATGAGTATAATGTCAACTTGCAAGTTTCAAGATGTTCCATAACCCAAGTGTAAGCCTTGTAAAGCGCACTAACATTTCACATTTCCAAATGTGTCATTCACTCTTCTAGATAGGAACCAAAAGGAGAGCGAGATTTAACAGTCAGATCTAACAATAAGAAAAAAAAGGGAAGGATAAATATCTTTTGCAATGTCGACACCAACAGTACAAAAAAACCAACAAGCAGACAGCGCTCGAACAAATGTAATCTTCAAGAGGGGCAGCACTGTAAAATAAGCAGACACATACCCAATAAGCCTATCATGTATATATCAAATTCTAGCATTTGTAAGATATACTGTTTAACAGAAACACCAAGATCTAATAACTTAATCCACTTTTCAAAACTCAATTGATAATTTCCACCTAGTTGAAACAAACTGATGCTAAATTACTATTATTTCAACCCGTCGTGTGAGACAGCCACAGTCACACCCGTGAATATGTAATTTTTCCTTGCTCCAGACAGACACTTCCTCTAAAAGATGCCATAGTGCCACTAAGCATATATCAAACCCAGGTTGAATGGGAGATGAAAAATACTCTGAGTTGGATCGGTGAATAACGCCCTTTGCTGACTGAAGCACAAGCGGCAAGGAGGAACGGCACCAGGGGCACTTCTTGACACGTTCGGTGTTCCACATTGAGATGCAATCACGGTGGAAAGCCTTAGAGCAGCAAGGCATCTCACTCCATGGCTCGTCCTGTTTGAATATTTCCCAGCAGATGGGGCAAACCCACTCTTCTTCTTCCCCTTCCCCTTCCCCTTCCCCTTCCCCTTCCCCTTCCCCT